TACTAGCAATAGTTCATACATTCAACTACTTAGAGATCTCATCAACGCTGAAAGACAAAGAAGAATCAAAGTAGAACATTTGCGAAGTCATTTTTTGCAGAGTCGATTATAAAACCATTTGGGTTGTAGTGTAGCGCAATGTTCCCTATGAGATAAGCATTTTGATTCACAGATTGCAGTGCAAGTCCAGCCAAAGTTTGCTTTCCGCTGAAAGCTCTACATACGAATTTGACTCAATGCAGATTCACAGAATTTTTAAAAAGCGAAGGCCCGGATTTTACATGAATTTTAGTTTTGGAAGTAATTTAGATGCATAGTCATCGATAATAAGTGGCATTTTGTGAAGTGTAACGAAATGGGGAAGAATAGAATGTCCACGTGACAGACACTGTAATGTTAGGTCAGCTTAGTCAAATATCGACCACTTGGTGGAAATGAGTTTGCAAGAGTGAGTAAGCAGGTTGAAGCAAGTTGGAGGAAGGTTTGCTGAAGAAGTTTTGCATGGAATAAATGAATTCGCGAATGCGGTATCTTATCGCACCGCATGGACTAAGTCCATTTTATTCGCACGAAGAGTCCATTTCGCGGGGACTTTCGTGGACATCATTCCTGAAGTGAGGTGGTGCTGGAGTACTTTGCGTTGCAATCCAGGACTGAACTTGGATAGCACCCTCCACGAGGCGTACGAAGCGCCGAGATGAACTTTGTGAGCTTCTAGCTGTGTATTCTTTCTTCTAACAGCCGCCGCTGGAACTCCAAAGCCGAATTTTCAGCGCGTGCTTTCTCCAAACGCTGCTGAAGTCTGGAACTGAGCGGTTACTTGTCTCCGTACTTGCGATGAAGCACTGCGACAGCGTGACGTAGTTGTCCTCTGTGACCGATGAAGGAGCTCGCGTGCGTTTAAAAAAAACCACTCTTTGGCGTCGGATGTATATCGGCGTCGTTACCTTTGTCGTGATTATAGCCGATGCAACATATATCGGTGGTTCAGCGTGTTGTGTGTCGACTGCCTTCCACACGAATGTTGTACAGCTTCATATCGTCGAGGCGAGAAGAAGAGCATTTTCCAAAACGGGAATTAAAAATACACAGAATCTCACAAGCAAACAAGGCAATATTAAAAACACATTTCTACTCTCTAAAAATGCATAAGTTTGTCTACGGTTATCAATTTCTTCTAATCGCGATTCGCGATACCACCTTCGCAGAAAGGATTGTAAACCTTCTGCCACGTGCCAAAAAAAATTTGACATGTCATGTACACGTTTAACAGGTTTGCTAAGAATGTTGCTTCACCAAGCGACTCAAGTTCATCTCGTTAGTCGATAACGACTATAATTTCCTAATTGCCGTAAACGATTTCAAAAATGAACATTTGTTACATTAACAATGTCTTCCTGTCATCAATGAATAGATTGGACTTGCCCAGAGTAGAAAAGTGAGCTAGGGTTCCATGGTTCAAGCGGCGCAATAAGCAGCAGGTACTTCATGACACCATAGTTCTTCCTGGCTGAATTCACATGTGTCGGAAAGAGTCTGAAGAGAGGAACATTTTCGAATCATTGCTGAAGATCAAGATGTTCTAATGTAAGTTCTAGGTTGTTTTGCTTTCAAAGAAAGCAATTAAACAGCTTTTAGATAATCACAAATGCTCTTTAACCTCAACCGGTGACTTCGATGAACGTGTCAAAATGGACCAAAATGTGTCAATTTTTTCCAATATGTGGCGGGAAGGCAGTCCTCGTAAAATCTTATGAAAGGTTGTTCTTAGACTGAATAACGTATTTTAGAGAGCTTTTTTAGTTTGGGTCCGAATAACGGAAAAGCACCTGTCGCATTTGATTTCAACTTTCTTATATAGCTGCAAAGACAGTGCAGCGTACTTATGGTGCTATATCTTATACTGCTTAGAAATGCTAAAAAGTTTCGATGCATTTATGAAAAATAATAAATTCAAAGTTTGGGATGGATACAACTTAAGTACGGGAGACGACTGAGGCGTCGGGTGAAATTTTTGTCCCGTTAATATTGAAAGGATGGCATCAATGCCGGTGAAAAAAAAAGAGAGCAAGAAACTGTGACAGTATCTGCAAAGTGATCAGTATGTTGTCTGATTTCGTTGCTGTGCACTTTTTTGGGTACATATCCATCCGTTATCCGGACCCACTTGGCTTTCAGGTAATAAGCGCTTTGAGACAACAAATTTTCTTAGATTCTATAAGGATTGTCTCCCCATGTTTTTCAAGGTCATTTCCTGCGAACTATGAATTCAAAGGCAGTTTCCCACCAGGATTTGGATCTCGGGATTTTCGTGAAATACAAGCCTTTCCGACCTTGTGTAATCCTATATGGGCTGAAATTCATGTAAAAATCCCAGAACCCCGCTTTTCGGAGCCCTTACAAACAAGCGGGCGAGCTTTCCTCTCACTCCAGTTTTTGCGGCAGGGTTAAACACTTCAAAAAAGAGGGCGTCGCCTTAGACGTGTTGAAACTAGGGAAAGAACAAGTCGTTCAGCTCCCGCCGAAATGCGCTCCGCCTGCCGCTTTTAGCCCAAACTTCTTAGCGCAAGAAGAACCTTATTGAGTGGGACTTGGACATTGGCCTGATAAGGGGATCCCCTAGGAAAAATCAAAAACCTGATATACCTTAAAACTAGGGATGCATTGCTTTCAGGATGACTTCAGTGCTGTTCAACTGTTTTTTACGAGAAGCAAAACGATTTGAAACGTAATCATATAAATCATTGTTAGCAACGTTTCATCATTATCTTCCTCAAACTGTTTCAGCTATGGATCAGCCAGAATATATTACAAAGATCGATTTATGTAGATAGCTCGCAGCTAATTTATCCATTTAGCTGATGAAATCCGAGCATATTCTTCCCTGTTTTGGGTAAATCCAGTAGAAAAGAATGGAATTTCCGATGTTATTATTGATTTTGTGAATTGCTAAAAAAAGGAAAAATTAGAAACATGCTGAGAATTAAAAAAAAAAACTTACTAGGTTGCTAGGTGAGCAACGCGAGTTTTTGTAAAACCTATCAAACAAGCATATGACTTATCAATCTTTTTTAACGAATGGCATAAGATTGACAATCCTTCCTGTAAGGCGAGGACCACATATGGTACGGGGAAAGAAGCATATCCTCTTCTAAAAAGGATCCGGAGCGAACTACGTATTAGTAGTTTTTTGCTCAGGGTTCCTTCATACTACGCCGCTGAAGTCGCAGTGAAAATATACGCTCACGGCAGCACAGTTTCCCGGTTATGGGTGTACATCTGTATTTGCTGCTTTGTGTTCTCCAAGAAGTTCCTTTACAGTGAGCGAGCTTATATTTTCACTGCGGCGTGCGCCACTGCAGTCGGTGAAAATAACGCTAGCTCTCTGTGAAGGAACACTCTCGGAGAACACGAACGTTCAGCAAAAATAGAGATAATCCAAAACCGGCGTAGCTGTGCTGCCGTGAGCGTATATTTTCACTGCGACTGCAGCAGCGCACCCCGCAGGAGGCGGCGTGGTGTGGCAGCCTGCTGCGCCTTGCGGCGTAGTATGAAAAAACCCTTAGATTTTAACCCATTGACGACGATGGCTATTTTACGTGGCGGGATGACGCGTTTTTGCACAACACTTTCATAAACAACTATACTTTGTTTTTGAACGACGAAGCCTACAGATCCCAAGAATGCAAACATTTGGAAAAATAATATTATTCTTTGGAAATACTAGACCTACAAAGGGTATGCCTTTGCGACAGGTGTGAGCCACGCTGGTCACATTGTCGTCAAGGGCTTTACTATGAAAAACGGAAAAACTTAGAAGGAAAAAGATGTCAAAAATGAAAATCTCGCTTTCGCAAATTGTCAGATGGTATTAGGTTGTAACAGAATTAATGCAGGTTTTCAATTCCAACCGCAATAAGTCATACACTTTTCATTTCTAAGTAGGTTGCAAAATACCATTCGATAGAGCAAAGCAATCTGTACAAGGTGGCGATCTTGCTTTAGCAACGACTCTGATCCACCACGAGTTTCGAGCCAAAAACTAAAAAGATTTAACTACCCAAAAAATTGGGAAAAATCGTAACTCAGTTCATAAAAAACCTACAAAAATTCTCACATAGGGCATCTATACACGCCGTTGCCGTATTTTTTTCTCTGTTAGAAATCAAGTGAACGGAAATTTCTGTGCATTTGCGAAAGTGTTGCTGTGCCGTTCCCACATAAGTGGTTGTATATTGCAAAGCTGTAGAAGTACAAACGTAAAATTTCAGCTCTCTACAGGCTTTAGTTCTTGAGAAATTTGAATTTTAGCTTGGACCACATGACTAGCGAAAACTGTATTCGATATTTTTCGATAACTGCTTGCAGAGAGCTGGAAACTCACCTTTGCACTTCTACAGGTTTGTAGTATGCAACTACTTACGTGGGAACGGCACAGCATGACTTTGGCAAGCGCACGAAACTTTCCGTTTTCTTCATTTCTAACAGAGAAAAATATATGGCAAAGGCGTGTATAGATGTCTTATGTGAATAGTGTTTACGTGAGCAAGTGAGAATTTTTGTAGGTTTTTTATGAACTGAGTTACGATTTTCCTCAATTTTTTGGGTAGTTAAATCTTTTTAGTTTTTGGCTCGAAACTCGTGGTGGATCAGAGTCGTTGCTAAAGCAAGATCGCCACCTTGTAGAGAATGCTTTGCTCTATCGAATGGTATTTTGCAACCTACTTATAAATGAAAAATGTATGACTTATTGCGGTTGGAATTGAAAACCTGCATTAATTCTGTTACAACCTAATATAATTTCTTTTATTTGATCTAAATTCAGAAAGTAAAGTTAGCAATTAGAGCAGATTTAGAGATTTTGGAAAAAAATAAAACAATTTGCGAATGAACTTACACACGAACTAATATTTCTCATCTCTTGCAATCAAACTCAAATTGATGTGAATCATGTAATTCTCTTGGTATACGATAATGATATAAGTATACCGGTATTTTAGGAAATGCAGTTTCTGAAAATATAGGAAGAGAAGCAGCACTGACCTGGAAGTTTAATCAGTTAAACACCAACAAAGATCAGGTAAATTATAAATTACCACTTCGCATGAACTAAGCTAAACAAATTTAGGTGCTAGAGCGCAGTGAATGGAAACCATATAAGACTGCCATTCTTCAGTGGAAAAAGGTGAAGCATTGTTCGAGAAGTTTCTTCAAGACCTGCGACGTCGACTCAAACCGTCGGTTAACATTGGAAGAGTGGAGAAAATGTATCATTGCAGGTAAAATAATCCCAATTTCCTCAGAGTTTACATAATGAACATTCGTCAAAACAGAATGAGAAAGCAACAAAAAACTGAGACCATTTGACTCGTATATCGCACTTTCAAAATAACACAAGTCACCTTTTGTCGCATTCGTGGTCGAGAATAATGAAGCTAAAAGTGGCCAAATTGTGCGGCATACGCCGAAAACGCAGTGTACTGTGCTAGGCCAGCTAAAATGATCATTGCTCCTCAATCTTCTCGGAAACACCCACCTACATCTACGCGTCGAGCATATGCTAAGCTCTTTCACAACGCAAGCACCGGCACAATGATATGGGGTCCAGTACGCAGTTCCGAAAAGAGATGCTAGAATGGTTGAAACACCTACACTCTATCCCAATCGGGTTCAGGCCAGACCGTTGGCATTAATTTGCACGCTCGCAGCGCTTACGGTTGGGCCACGCGCGGCATACGTGGAGTACGAAGCGTGGTACTCTCGCGACTTTGTTAATTTTTTCAGTACTGCAGTTCCTATACACCAGATGCCTATCATTATTTTTCAAAGGCATCGTCAACACAACAGGATATTGAGATTTTGATGCTATGTTGTAGAGGGGCCCTCACTAAACAATCGCCAAAGGCCGTTGCAAAAGATGAATTTCAAAGCGAGGAAACCGCCTTAAAAGTTAAGAGCGGCAGCGCTGGTTCCGCCAATCAACGTGGATGGTCTGAAGATACAAGGGGGGGGGGGCAAGGCGCAAATCTAATAATCAGGAAGGCGCGAATCTAGTAATCTATGACAGACAATACTGGATACTGAAGCCCAAGTTTGAACTCGATACCATCAGATCACCCACGTCATTGGGCGAGGCAGCGTAAAGTTTCTACTTCTGGAGCAGCTTTCTCGCTTCGGAGACTATTTTGCAACGAGACTTGGGCAATTGCTTACAAGAGAAGCATGTTCAGTCGAAGTGGCTTTTCGGAGGTGTAAATGACAATGAAGAGTTTGAGTCGCTAATTTCAAATCTGCCTTTTTTTTCCGCGGAACATGTGCACGAGAAGTTATACTTTACTTTACTTTACTTTACTTTACTTATGTGTAAGTTATGTGCGTTTATTGAAGCAAAAAATTGAATGTGCATATTAGATAAAATGAGTTGCTAAAGTCTTGCTAGCTATCGAGTAAAGCAATCAGTTGTGGTGGATTTTTTTTACAATGTATATTGAATAAAGCGCCCTAAAAATAATTACTGCTCCATTAGAGCGGTAGAAAAATATTACGGCCATTTTTGTCCCGTATGCATACTCAATTCTTTGCTCCAATAAATGCTCATACATCGTCCATAAACAGGATAGGAAGGCAGATTCCGAATCAGCATTTTATTCCCTCCGATGAGGTATACATTCCATCTAAAAGGGCAACTTTGATTCAACATGCTTCTCTTGTTAGTTAGGATCCCTGCTACTACAGGGTGGCCGATAAGTATGAGCGCTACAACATGTAATATATCTTTTTTTCCTAAATATTCTATTATGGTGGCTAATGTGCCTGTAACTTACGGACAACCTCTGTATTAAGATAAGTGAAAATCACGCGAACTGAAGTCTTCTGATGCAAACCGGACTCCTGAGTCTACTTTCTCATGAAAGGTGCTGCGGCGCGTTCAGTTAACACCGTACTTATAGTACCGTATCTTGTTTTGGAGATGAAAATTTTTTGATGTTACTTAACTGTATTATTTTTCTCTGATTGTGCTTACAAAACCTTGAATCTATTCGATCAATAATCAAGTTTTTTCAATGGTTTCGCAATTGGTACATTCTTCAAGTTGCATTTTGGACGCATCAACTTCATGGTAAGCTACTGAAATCTGTATGCATGTGCAGGAACCCAGTTTTGCAGTAGTAACACTCTAATAACACGCCTGTGTTTTCGGCATGCAAAAATAATCTTGCAGAAATTTGCTTGCTATGAAAAATCATCAAACGAAAAATGTGACGCCCATACTTTTCGGTCACCCTGTAGATAGCATTAAAATCTAATCACTTTCGGTAGGGGTGCATAATGCCTTTGAAAAAGGATTTGTTCCTGGGCTTCGCGTAGCTGATACTATGCATCCATTTCGTAATACATGAGCTTTTTACACTTTGGGGATCCGAATGTTGGAGGTCCCGTTTTTCTATAAGGGCCGCATGCATTAACGTCTCCGCCGGAGAAGCGGATTGCAGCCCAAAAGAAGGCTTCATATCCTTAAGTTCCAGATATTTGGGTTTCACGCCTACCTATCCGTAAGTATTCCTACAATCTTTCACTATGAACAGAGTGAACAGAAGCGAAGGGCTGTACAAGCCGCTTTTTCCAATTTTTGTTTGATTGCCTGACGATCCCCGGCGGTTGGCCGCCTTTCTTTCAACGCCATTTTTCTTTCTCGAAGTTAACGAAAACCCTCCAGAGTTGTATTCATTATCTAACGGAGTACTGATAAGGAAAGCTACTTAACTTAGCTCGGCCTTTTAGCAGGGGACATAAATATTCTGAATCAGCTTTGAACGCTGATTCCAAATAGGCTATTCCTAGCTTCCGCGCACCATTCCGAAGTGAGCTATGGGCTTTTTCCGGCGCAAAATTGGCATACTGTGAACATGAAAGGACGTCTGTAAGCAAAAATCTGCAAGAAAAAGGTGCTGAAATATTGAAAGAACACAAATCCAATCTTTTCTCACTGAAAAGAAGCTAAACGCAAGTGTATTAGCATTTTGATGATGAAAGTGATGCCAGTGAGTCAATGAGTATGCCAACTTTGCGCAGAACAAAGCCCATAACTCGCCTTGGAAAGGTGCGCTGCAGCTAGGAAAAGCATACTTGGAGTCAGCGTTTAAAGCTGATTCAGATTATATATGTACCTTGCCAGAAGGCAAAGCTATATTAAATAACTTCCCTTTAAGCATGTTGCTGTTGAGAACAAATGAGCTTTTGGAGAATCGAATATTTTGGTAAACCCCGACTTTCGACTTGTGGTTCATCGTAAATTTCATGAATCCCATACATCATTTCTTCTTATTAGCAACATGCTAAGCACTCTTGAGTTAGATAATCTGTACAACTCTGGAATGTTTTCGTTAACTTCAAAAAAAAAAAGAAAAGAAAAATGACTTCAAAGAAAAGATGGTTATCCGCTGAAGATCACCAGATTTACAAAAAGCTGGAAAATGCAGCTTGTACAGCTTCTCGCTCCTGTTCCATATGTTCATAGTGAAGGATGGTAGATAACTTACGGGTGGATAGATATCGTGAAATCCAGAAGTTCGAAGCTTCAGGATATGGAGCTTTCTTTTTAAGCCGCAATCTCCTCCCCGGAGGGAAAGTTAATGCATGCGGCCCAAGAAGGGTGATTTCACCTTAAGAAGTGGAACGAATGGGAAATAACTGCCAGGGAAGTAAAAATGCTGGGAAAAGTCTCGCATAGTGCGAAAATACTCAGATAGAGAAGGAAAATGTGCAGGAGGCGGACACATAGAAAATCTTTGTCTAGGAGGAGTTGAGCTGAACGAAATGATTTTAGATTCTTTGCCAGGGAATTATATATAAAATTTTTGACGAAACAGTTGACACATACTGTGATGCTTATGCACCGCACCAGAAAATTTTTTCAAATGACTTCATGTCAATGCAATGTCTGATCACCTATATCAAGTAAGCTCTTCAAAGCTCCCTCAATTCATCCAGTCCTACGATGCGACAACAGCAATTGAAGAAACACTTTAATAGATTCTCTCATGTCGTTCAGCACTTTTTCATCTTACAAAAACTTATAAGAGCAATGGTCATTCACCTATGTCTATTTCAGATGTCACAAAAACTCCGGCTCTTAGACAGGATCAACTCAATCCATTTCTGTATATTCTAAAAGCAGATTGAGTATCTGCTTGTGTTTTGACTCAAATGAATGTTTTTATACTTCTGTGTTCTTGTCCTTCCCTATTGTGGCAACGTTGCAAATCCTATACCTTCTGCCGTCTTCAGGATGTCCCATAATGACGTGAATACTGTTTGGTACTTGATTACTCTCTTGCTTTCAAGTTCTTCGCTAAGCTTGAGGTACCCCTTCACTTCCCTAAAATCCTTCCCGAAGTTCATACCTTGATCCTACAATAAGGACAGATTAATGATTCGGTCCACTGTAAACTCAAGTCGAACCTCATCTACAGAATGGTACCGTAAGCTTGGCGAAAGACATGAAAGCAAGAGATTTATCAACGATCAAACAGTGTTCACATTTTTTTAAGACACCCTGTGTAATGTCTGTCATACGGGGCTCTTTTTTCATGTTGAGTTGTGCCATGTGACAAGAGAGGTAATTAATTTTTATTAATAGGTGTCACTTATGGAGAGTGAACACAGTTATGGATCACGATGACTGTCGTTTGGTTTTTCAAGACTTATACCCTGAAATCTTCTTTAAAATTGTGTTAATCTCATTCTGACGTAGCACATTACAATTAGCCATAAGAGTAATTTCACAAAAAACAAGATTTAGCTCAGAAAAAGCTGTTTGTTCATAATAGAGTTTTGTACTTCTAGATAGTTCTTCTCTTAGGTAGTTCCGCAGTAAATTCGAGTAAAAACGTTAGATATTCTAGAAATATTTTGAGCAAACAGAATGAAAAAGAACACCATTGGTAGCTGTTTTGGTCCTATCCTTCAATTTCATATGAAAAGCAACATGCATAATCGAGGAAGGACAGGGCTCGGCACGAGCTGGCATGAGGGAAATTTTCAAAACGAGGTTCCGTTTGATCTTTAAAATTACTTACAAAGTCTCTTTGACCTGTTTTGAAGATCCTTCATTACTTTTAGATCATGTAAAAGTATGTTGTAGAGTTTTTTCATGCATGGTGATTTCATGGAACAACTTTTCACAGCTTTCTGAGCTGTTTGATTGGGTGGTTGAATCACATCTTCAAAAGAAGAAAAAGCCCATCTTTCGACTGCGGAGCAGACCGAGTAATTTCCGGATGGCTATAAAACGCTGAAAAAAAAACATTGTAAAACTGTTTCTTCTCTGCATGTAAACTTCTACAGTGTAGATACATTCCCCGTAAAAAACTATGTAAACTTATGTGAGCAAAGTGTCGGTGCCAGCTTAGCTGGCACCCAGATGGCACGGTGCCAGCTAATTCAGACAAAAGTTCAGCACAGCTTTCATTCAAGTTTTCATAAAGTTTTAGGTCATAGTTCGGGTTTCCCAACGCGCATGCACACACCAAATTTGGTGTCATACTATTGCGTTTTTGAGAATAACGCCTTTGTTTGTTTGATGGACAGCATGTCGATGGCATGCCGGCGGCATTCTTGCGGCTCTTTCGCCCCGAACCCCGGGAAAAGATATCCTCTTTGCTTTACGCCCTAAAAACGATATCCAGCTTGACCCGGTGCCAGCTGTGACGAGCTCTGAGGAAGGATCTTTGGTCGAAGTGGCTTGTCCAGGAGGGACGTATTTTTACTTGAAGGATGTCTAAGGCTAATTCCAAATCTGTCTTCCCGCGAAGCGCCTCTAGAGCAGGAGGTATGAGAGCTTTTGTAGCAAAATTTGAATTACGTGGTTAAAAGAATATTATTAATAGAAGATCCGTGTGAACTCAAATGGTAACCAGACTATCAAACCTTTCTAAAAAAAAGAAAATTTTCCATGTGCTACCTCTGTGCTCCATTATTCCACCTGCGAGTTGGAAAGGCTACCAATATCAATTTTACTCTGGTCAGACGTTCAGTTTTTTGGCTCAAAACTCTCGTATCTCCTCACTCAAAAGAATTGAACTTAGCGTCTATTGCCCTACAAGAGCAATGGACGTTTGTAGACATCTCGGTTGTAAAGCCCACTTCGACAAAGGGTGATGCTCCATGTTGCACTTTTGAATTCGAAACCATACAATAAAAAAACATACCTGGTACTTGTGTATTCCTCCGCGATCACCTTGTTTGTGCAACTAAAAGAGCAATTTTAAGCTTACGGCGATTAGCACAAAATGTAGTATGTCCATCATTTATTGATCTTTTGTGTTTAAATTGTTGGTTTAGTTAAGTTTGTGCTTAACGGTATATATACAAACCAGTGCGTCACCTCTGCTTCGCAGAGGTTCGCATTGGCTCTACTATCTATGTGCCTTACTCATTCTCGTAAAATCGTGGCACTGGAACTCACCACGCTTATGCCGACTACCACGAATCAAATGTAAACAACCACTCATTTAGAAAGTCTTTTCACGTGAGATCGGTGATTTCGCGTGGATGTTCCTTTTCGCAGGAAGACAAACGCAAATTTGAATAGGTTTTTGGAATTGTCATGACTTGTTAGTCGCCATAAAGGTAATGATAACCGTGAGCTACATCTCTGTGCGAAAATCTTCTCAAACGCTTAGCTAGAACCTTGGCAAATTGACCATTTACACAACCAATTCGTTTTGGCGCCGTTTTCGTTATGTAGTAAACTTTCGACCACTTTTCTGGCTAAAGTCCATCGCTTGCACATTTGCCTACCAAACTCATCCACGACTCTGCAAAAAATGGTGATACGGACCGAATTTTGCGGTACAGAAGCCAGGTGGACCCGTTTGGCGCGCAATTTCTGAGGGATCCACTCAACGAATTTGCTCGTGCTTTTGCGTATTGGACTTTTATGCGGGTAGCATACGCTGTGCAAAATTTGAGCCCAGAAGGTTGCCTGGAACACGCTCTACGGTTTTCGTAACAGACACACACACAGACAAAGTCACGTAAACACCCTTAGCCCGTTATTATAAGTCATGATGTTTTTTTTTCTGAGGTAAACAAGCAATTGCAGCGCAAAGATGGACACCATATCTATTCTTGTCAAATGTAATCAGGCAGGGATGACATCAAATATGAAAAGCATTCTTTACGCTGGCTCTAGTAGATGATTTAGTTATTGGTCATTATGTATGTCATCAGGAATTATAAAAAAGTTGCAGTTTCAAAATGAGCAAAGACTGCGAGTTATTCAGCCTATCATTACTTAGTAAAGTGAATTCGGAAACAGCGAGGCACAAAAAAGGCTATCGCGGTCGGTAGCTTCGGTTTGGAGAGCAGATGTAGTCAAAGTTTCACTGAATTGCGAGGACAAAACAGTTCTATATTGCATGGAGAGAATGTCAGAGGAAAAATCTTCAAATAGAGAGGCTTTCATTAGCCATTCTCCCGGAAGAGTTTTTGGGATACCCTTCGAAACTTTTGTGGACTCATAACCTCAAAAATGCCCTCCTTTCAAAGTATTCTTATAAGGCTAACTTGGAATCTGAAGAATATTGAAGACAAGCTGGCAAACCTGGCTCCGCCCGGTCCTGTCAATAATGTATTCGAATCAGCACATTCACTTACCCCCCTCCCCACCCTGCACATCCTACACACCATGCACACCCTGCACACCCGCACACCGTAAACACCTGCACACCCTGCACACCACACCTGCACACCCTGCACACCTGCACACCTGCACACCCTGCACAACCTGCGTATTATAATAATTATATAACGTGCAGGGTTGTAAATTGGTGTGGTTACGTGACTACTTGGTATGTGCACAAATATACAAATCCTCTGTTCTATACATATAGATTCTTCCATATTTCCAAGTTAACAAATCACTTTCAAAAATTGTAACTTCTTCAGATGAATAGCAGCAACAGCGATAAGAAAATACCAAAACTGCCTTGTTCTTTGCTCTCAGCAAATATATAGTTCACATGGGTTCCAGGGCTGAAGTGCTTGGTGAAAGGGATTTGTCATTAGAACCCTCCTGTTCCTCGCTTTAGCTTGGAGACGACCTGTCTTGAGTTGATATCACAAGCAACTTTGCCCCATTTCTCTTACTCTTCCTAAGTCGAACGATAACTCCTTTCAAATTGGTCATTTTAAAGCAGTTTCTATCAAATGGAAACTTGTACGTTTAATGGGAAAGAAGAGAAGAAGTTTTGAATCTTTTTCATCAGTCAAGAAAATCTATATATATAAATAAAACTCAAAGTCTGTGAGGATGTTCGTTTAATTGTTCGTTCGTTATAGAAACGCCTGCCAATGAACCGATTGAGCTGAAACTTTGCACACATATGTATGCGACCCAGGGGTTCAGCGCTACTTTTTGCTGCAATTCGCCGGGCCTAATCTATAGATTTATTGATTTTTGGCATAAGAATGAGTTTTCAACATCGGCTAACAAGTTGAAATGATTTCGTGTAAACAACATCAGTAGAGTTCATTCGATTTTCGCGGTAGGAAGGATGCGGTGATTCAAGACAGGCCTAGAGCGGGTGAGTTACTTTGTTGCAGAAACCTCTTGCTGCGCAACATAATGGCTATTTGGGAAGGGGAGGCGGAGGGGGGGGGGGGCTAATGCAAAGATCAGCTGACGTGACCCGGGCTGGACCGAGAAAACCCAGCTAGTCTCAAATAAAATTCACAGCTGTAGACCACCTCCAAATTGCGCTAGCCCCCCCCCCCCGCTAATTCGGTCCGCCATTGCTGCATATGTATATGCATTTGTTAGTACATCAAAACAGTACTTCCTGAACTTCAACACTGAAGTTGACAGAACTGAAAATTACCTAGATCAGCTAATGCGCCAAATACGGGCTTCGGTGCATTTTGCTCATGGCTTTGTTCCATCACTTCCAAAATCGCAGTCTTTGTCGATGTTTCGTGTGCTTTCGCTGACTGCGGCTCCGATCGACTCGCTTCCATTGTCTGAAACAAAGGGTACAGCAGAATCTCTTCTCCAAATACATTCGAAGAGGTATGCATGCAAAAACATCTCACATTTGCATCGGTGAGTAGGTCGTCAAACGCAGATTGCGGCAGATTCAGTCCTGTTTTCTTCTCAAAAAATTGAACGATCTAAAAATGGTACTCAAAAAATAAAGTCGAAAAATGCTGGCCTTTTCCACATAGTGCGGTCACTTCCAGTTTTATGCAATATCTCAGCAGATCACTTATCATGATTGTGTCACTTGTTACTCAAATTACTCATTTGTTACAAATTTTTGAAAATGAAGGACAGAACTTTCGGACCCACCTAATATATATGGGTGTCCCAAAAAAATGTGAACACTGTTTGATCATTAATAACTCCGTTACTTTCACGTCGTTCGCCGAGCTTGAGGCATCATTCTGTGGAGCGAGGTTCAACTTAAATTTATAATATAGAGCGAATCACCGAGTGCTGTTCCTTACTGTAAGATTACGGTACGAACTTCTAGCATGTGGATCTAGTGAAATATGCCATTTGACAAAAGTTTATTCAAAAAATCTAAGAAATCATGTACTAGGGTTTGTGCACGCTGATTCCATTAGACAACTTTTTACGAGTGTCTTTAGCCTTTTTGATGGAGTAGTCACATTTCTGACAAATGCTGGAAATTCAGTTATTACGATTTACCTAAGATAACCTTGGGAAGAAACATCACAGTAAAGTGGAAATTTCATATTCAAAATTAACGTCTTCTATTACTATAATGCAGAAGTTTTGGCTTGTTTGCTTCTGTTCCGTGGAATATGGCCTCCAATGGCCTAAATTCCTTGTCGAAGTTCCTACCGTAACCCTACAGGAATGAAGAGCGATCGCCGATTCGCTTCATATGGTAAATCTAAGTTAAACCTCGCTCTATAGAATGATGCCTCAAGCTCGGAAAATGACATGAAAGCAAAGGAGTTATTAATGATCAAACAGTGTTCACATTTTTTCGGGACACCCTGAATATTAGGTCGTCCCGAAAATTCTTGCGCACGATTCTTATAAATTCATAACTTCTGATTTTTCCGACCAATTTGACTGCTTTCATTTTTATATAAAGATAAGTCGTGCTCTTTGTAAGACATTTTAGCTGCTTATTAGTGGTCATCTGTTGCATAGATAGGAGCGATAGAAGAAAATTGGTCAAAATTTGAGTTTTTTGTGTAGGGTCATAAAAAATCGGTAACTTGCAACAAAAATCGGAGCAGTCGGTATTGTAGGTTCTTTCACAAGCTCTTTCCAACAGTGCAACGTTTGCGCCGATTGAGCGTCTCTATGAAGAGTTATGATTTTCGAGCAAGGAATACAAAAGGGCAAATTTGATTTATTTTGGCATTTTTCAGAAAAATCGTAACTTTTCGTAGAGAACGCTCAATCGGCGCAAACTTTGCACTGTTAGAAAGAGCTAGTGAAAGAACCTACAATACCGACTGCTCCGATTTTTGTTGCAAGTTTCCGATTTTTTATGACCCTGCACAAAAATTCGAATTTTGATTAATTTCCTTGTATCGCTCCTATCTATGCAACATATGATCATTAGCAAGCAGCTAAGATGTCATTATAAAGGGCATGGCTTACTCTATCATATAAGTGTAAAAACAATCAAAACGATGGAAAAATCAGAATTTATGAATTTTTGAAAATCATGCGCAAGAACTTTCGGGACGACCTAATATTTTATACATTTGTATATATTTTGTTTATATCAAGACAGAGGAGATCAGAAAGTATTACACAAAACCGCACTATTGCACTCATTTACCAATATCATTAGATTAATGTGTTGTGCATAAATTGCTACTTGATATTTATAAAAATGCCACTTATGCTGAGCATAGTTGCCGATGATAAAACAGGGAGTAAAACTTGTCTTAAACTTGTTACAGATTCGTTTCCATGTACTGAGCTGTTAAACCAGACGAAAATGCTATCATTATCAGCTAATTGTTCGTACTTGATTTTTGGCTGATACTATTGCCTCCCAACTTCCTAGGGTTCAACATAGACACGAATCTTTGACTATGGCTTCCAAGAGATGCCTCAACTAGTAAACCCGTGAGCGTTAGCATACGACACTATCGTATCCTGATGATGTGTTATCTCAAAAAATAAAGTTACCAAACACCGAAGAACTCTATTGTTATCCTTTGAGGCGTACAATAACTCAGATAATCGCCGGGGGCAGGCGGTCCGCAAACTCGCGCTTTTCTGCAGGCGGTCAGCAGAATTTTGGGGCGTGGCTAAACCTTCAGTGAGCAGTACTTCCTTTACTGTCTAATGTTCTGCCAGCGAGCAGCAACACAGAATTTTCTGCAGGCGCTCGTCAAATAATCTCTTTCAGCAAACGCTGGCCAAAATTTTAGCAGGCGCTCGGACTCTTTTTACGCAGTTTCGGGCTTACGTCGAGCACAGGTAAGAGACTTTGAGTGGCAGAGGTGTCACCGTTGGTTCAATTACTCAGGTTTGAGGTTTCCTCTCAGCGGAAAGTACCTGGGGGTTGCGCGGTCCTCCACAAAGGTCCGTGCGGCCCTCAAAATTTTGCATATTCTCGCGGAAAGTCCGCGAAAATGCAGCCACTGCGCCGCAGCTAATCTACAAGGAAACCGCGATTGTTCTCCAAGCATTCGTCTAAAACTTAGCTAGAATTCTTCCAATTATCTGCACGCGGACTTCAAGAAATCAGCGAACTATTTTTCCGGTGCCCGCCCGCCCATAAATCGCATGGCCGCCTGCCCCCGGCGATTTTCTGAGAAGGTGATGATACAACATACGATTGAATGTTTTTCTAACATTGCGAAAACGATACTGTACCTGGTGAGAATCTGGTCGATTGACAGGGTTTATGTTCCACACTTTATCATTCACAAACGAGGCCACATCCGACGGGACATTGTCTGGTAATTTATTTACTTTGCCGGCAATAACCTGAAGCACAATTTTGTTGCTTCAACACATATCCATTCCAAAAACCAACCATTGATCGCACTTCGGCTGTGCTACAGCCTTGATATGGCTCTTTGCAAGCATACACTTCGTACACAAGTATCTAAAAAAGCACGTAAAATCTATTTTAGTACAGGGAAGCTTAGATTTGGATCGATTATGAAAAATATGAAAAAAAAACCCACTCCGAAGGTGTAAACATCTGTTTTGGGAGAAAACAAAAAGCATGAGAGACTTTCCGGTGCCATATATTTTATTGGCATTTTCTGCATGGTTTTCATTTTATACACACTACCTTTACGGGACAAGCCGAAGTCTGATATCTTTACCTAAATAAGATGAAGTGGTAACGAGCTGCATAAAGCTTGCTAGGAAAAAGACCCTCACTGAGAATGTCTTGTCGCACAAGCAATTCCTTGCGGCTATGTCTCTATGGATTATGTTATTCTGGTGAAGATACTCCATTCCCCAAGCAACTCCCATCACTAATTTCATGCGTTCTTCACTGGTAATCTTATCTTTATTTTTTCTCAAATAAGAATCTAGCGCTCCACCTGCAGAACTTAGATGTATGATGTTAAATTAGTGCATTAGCTTACCTTGAACATACTCCAAGATTATGTATAATGGATGATCAACGAGGACAACTCCAATAAACGACACTATATTCGGGTGACGCAATCTTCTCATTATACGAGATTCTTTTAATATTTCTTTAATTAGCTTTGGCGATACCTTTATCCCCGTTTTCCGCGACAGCTGGAATGTACTCGATCATGACAGCAGAAACCGGCGTAGCTAGCTAGCTTTAGCTCCCAAATTAAAAACTACTTGCAATTTGAATTTCGCCGGTGTGCAAATGTCTAGCGTTGTTCAGTACAATGTAAAGCAACTAATGCAATATTCAATGCAGAGTTACGGATATAGCTTTTGAGCGTTAGAATGGCATACCAGTCGTTGGAAAAAGCGTGTTACGACAATTTTCAACGATCGCAGGCGATATCCACGCGACCAAACATATCAGAAATGAAACCACATCGATCATTTGAGAGTTCCCCTTGCAGATCGAATGCGCAGATGCTCGTGACTATGCTCAACTAAAGAAAGTGATACGTTGCAAAGTTATAACACTAATCTCTCTGCGGTGGGTCACAAACGCGGAGAAAGAATTCAAGATACTGTTGAAGTACGACGGCTACTTTTGATGTGCAGTGTTTACAAGGTGCTAAGAAAGGACCGAACCTTATTTTGAGATTTTTTGCTTGCCTGGGCCTATTCGCTATACTGAATCTGAAAATTAACACTGGAGCGCGAAAATGGCGAAAAAGGGCTCTAACGCGCTCCGGAAATCACAGGTGGGCGGGGTTGTTCACACCGTGATGTTACTCCCCCAGCTTCAGAGCGATCTTCTCGGTTCCGATTTTATGTCAAGCGTTTCGCAGTTGGCCGGTGGCGATGTAAGGACTATTAATGAACCAAGAAGATGCTAATGAAGCTGGGAGAGTGACGTCACAATGTTAACGGCCAACCTGCGATTTCTCTGCCAATAAAGCCCTTTTCGCCGTTTTTGCGCTTTTCGTGGTGAATTTTCGGATTCAGCATAGCGAATAGTCGCGGGTAAGCACAAAATCTCAAAATTGACTTTTTGCCCGGACACTGCCTTCAAGCGTAGAGGCAACAGATAAATTCTAGACTGCCTCAGAATACCCTGACCCATTACGCTTTTTTGCAGCACCAGAGTTACTGTTTCCTTTCCCACTCCTTCGCCCGAATAAATAAAGCAGGGCATGAACAAAAAGGTATGATGGACAATTTGTGCCTTTAGAATGTATTCTTATATGGGAATGAGACGGAATGTAGGATGAAGGAGACAGTTGCAAACTCGGTGATGTACCATGTACAGCACCGGTCTCAAGCATCTTAATAGCGCTATTCCCTAGAATTTACTACTGTAACAAACAAGGGGAGATTTTCATACAGGAAGTAGTTGAAGATCAAAGGTTCGAAACATTTTTCGAGACTCCCTGTGTAATGTCAATGAATTCTCGGTTTTAGACAATAAATCTGGGTTTGGTGCAACAGATCAAATTAGGAGCTGTTCAGATTCTCAGAAATCATGAGCCGCATGCATTAAAACCCCTGCCAGGGAGGGGATCGCAGCTTGAAAGAAAAACTTTATATCCTAAAGCTCCAGATATCTGGACTTCACGTTGTCTACCTATCCGTAAGTACTCCCACCTTCCTTCACTATGAACATCACGAAGGGAGCAAGAAGCTGTACAAGCCGCATTTTTCAGCTTTTTGTTTGATCACCTGATGATCCCGCGGCCGACCGTCTCTTCTTTGGAGTAATTTTTCTTTTCGAAGTCAGTAAATTCCAAAGTTGTGTTGTTTATCCACCCAACAGTGCTAATCATGTTCCTGGTAAAAACAGGTGATGTTTTGACGTGATGAAATTTGCGATGAACCACAAGTCGAAAGTTGGAGTTCATCGAAAAATTTGATATTTCAAAAACTCATTTGTTCTTATCAGCAACATGCTTAGCACTGTTGGGTTAGACGAGCACTACAGCTTTGGAATTTTTTGTTAACTTCGAAGAAAGAAAAAAGTCATACAGAAATATGCGGAATGTATGTACAGCTTCTCCCGTTCAATATGTTCATAATGAAAGATGGTGGCAATACTTACTGATAGGTAGACAAGCTGAAATCCAGATATTTGGAGCTTCAGGATAGAAAATTTGCTTCTAAGCTGCGATCCCCTCCCCAGCGGGCATGTTAGTGCATGCGGCCCTATGTTACAAGACTTGTGTTTTAAAAAGAAAGTTGATGAAACAAACTGTCTGGAAAAAGAGTTTGCTGCGATACGCCAAATCTCACCAAACTAATGCAATACAACTCAATGTGCTCAACACACAACATTAGTGTAATTCATATAGTCCACTTCTTATCTACGACGGCAGAGTGGGATTTTCCTAACAAGAAAATGATTAGAAGTTGAAGTGGCCGTTCCAAACAAGCCTGCATACCATTCGATGTCGTTCTTTATGAAATGACGACGGATTTTATAAAATCGTGACGACGAATTTTGCTGCGGATTTTGCGCCCACTGAGGCACAAAACGCTCATACAAGAAGGCACCACTTCAAAGTTTAGTTCATTCACTTCCAGTGATCAAGTATTAACATACGTAAGCAAAAAACCATTCGACTAGAGACGAGAGCTGAGAAATGCGATTTCTGGAAGTGGCGTGCGTGTCGCGCGCGATCGCGCCATTGTCACGATTTTTCAAATGCCCTATAGTTTGAAACGCTGACCATAAGACTGTCTTCCGTATCCCGTTCTGAGCAGATTCTTGCGAAAAAAATCGTGCACTAAAACTTGCGCAGTTGAAAGCATTATTACCCTTTTCGTTCACTCGTTGGTAGTATGGCTCACATGAAGTTACCTAGCTGCATGTTATGACCCAGCATTAATCGACCATAGCTTTGCACAACCAGATTTAGCCTTTACACGCACGATTTTTTAGCAAAATATTGGCCTCTAATGGCTTATAGTTTCGTCCGCAAAAGTGTTCAGCAGGTAGAAAGACAGATTTAGAGTCAGTGTCTTATGCTGATTTAACGGTATGCAGTTTGTTCGGATTGGAAACTTCGATTTCTGACCATCTCTTTTAAAGTATCGAATGGATGATTTGTTAGTAGATTGAAACCTATTTCACATACTTCGCTCAACAAATTTCCAACAATTACGCAGAGGTTACTGGTAAGTATCCAGCGTTTTGATTATCTTTATCAAAACATTATTACCCTATTCACGCATATAAAGGGCCGGGCATACTTCACGCGGTTTCAGTCGCGATTTGGCAATATTCCATATCTCACTGAGAGCACATTTGAAATGTACAGAAGATAGGGCATTTTGACATTCCACGTAAGGTTACACACACTATGCATGTGCAGTTTGCTAGTGTTGGATCTGAAGGCTTCTGGCGAATTGCCAAATCGCGTCGCGACTGAAATCGCTTGAATGCTCGGCCCTTAAGCTAAGGCATACCTCACGCGATTCCACCAAATCGCGACGTCCACGCGACTTGGCATTCTGCCAGATTTTCTCAAATCCGTGGTCGCTTTTCAAATGCATAGGCGCGTAGCTTTCGTAAGTTCTTGCAAACGGATCAGGTCCTAGTCAAACAGATAGCGGTAACGACCAATTACGAACCGTCGCTTCTGTGCCGAATCGCGCAGCGACTGAAATCGCGTGAGGTATGCCTTAGGCCTAAGGCGCGGGGGATTTTTTCCCAAAATCGACCCCAGAAACGTCAAAGGACTTCACAACCAAAGGGCCCTATAACATGCTGTATATTGCTTGAGAGAATCCTGCGATGTATTTCTTTCCGGGATGCAGTGAACCGGCTGAGCGGCTCGTTTGAAAATCCGAAAAAGTGCACCTTATACGCGTGAAATTATCGTATTTGTTAGGTGGAAAATTTTACAACACATATTCCCTGAATGTTCACTCTACTTGTGCTTACCGTTTTCACTGCCACAGCCAGTACTTTACCATTTCTCTTTCGCAATTCGGCCAGCTTAACTTCTCCGTATGCTCCTCTTCCGACGGTTTTCACTAGTTTCAAGTTGCGATGGGTATACTCCCACCGACAGAATCCAACTCCACGTTGAAGAAGAATTGAAGTCTACAAGAACAACATTCATAGTTTGATGAGAAGAAAAAAGAAAGTGCTTCGGCTGATCCCTAACCTTATCCAGCATGATAGGATTGTTCATATAGTATGCAAAAAGAAGTGCGGCAGAGTCAAACTTTCGAGATTCTTCTAGGAACCACTTTCCTCTACGATGATATATTATGATGTTCCTAATCTAAATATGTTTTGGTTAACATAGTGCACGCATTTGCTAATATCGAGCTTGTTAGACTGAAGAGAACGTTTGCCCACCCATGTCATTTTTTGCAAAGTTTGGTAATTCCCGTTATCTGGAGGATCGTTTCCACTCATGAGGTCGAGCTTATGAGATGAATCGACCTGTTCCGCTGTTTCTAAGAAAGCGAAACGAACCAAAAGGGTTTACTAGAGTGTCGCAACTGCTCTTAAATAATTTGAGACTATCCGCCTCTTCATAATGTTTCCGCCATACGACTACAACCAAGATTACAAGAGGCATTCACATTGCTGCTTGTTTGGCCACTTAGCAGCTAGCAAAATGTGCCGTGCTGTCTCTGTGCTAATTTTGAAATGATGTTGTTATTGGTCGATGTTAATGTCATTTTTCTAATGCGTATGGTAGGTAGGTAACAGAAAACTCGTAATATAGACGTTAAACATGTAGATGAATTCTCAGTTTGAAAGTGAGAGGAGGTAGACATTTTTTCCTATGAATGGCGAGTAAAAACATTACAGGGAAGGAAGCGATTTTTTTGAAAACGTGGGTTTGGATAACGGACAAGTGCCTATCATCTACATATTCTATGACTAAGGGATTCTAGACCGCTCTGCATACGTGGTTTGAAAAAGCTTGATCGTGTTCTTGGCAGGTTTATCGTGTATTTAGCAAGTTCACACGTGTAACCTAGTTCATCTAGTATTGATTGCGACTCGAAAAAAGGAAAGAACAAGTCCATCTTTGTTCAGACAATGTGGTAAAGCGATCTAGAGTCTAATAGTCATAGAATGTTAAGTTCTTAATACGTACAAGAAAATACCTGCTTTTCCGCTGCACAGCTACCAATGTTATGATTTTCCACCAGCACGGAAATTACGTTTGATGTTCGCGTTTTGTCGTTAGACTTTGGTGATACTGTCTGGAAGCACTTTGATTAAGATCTCAGTCTCTCATGCTCGACTCATACGCCATCCATGCTAGCCGAACATCACCTTTCCCTAATAACCCTGATATAAGAACTTCTATGTTTAAGTACTGCCACATAAGGGTTTCTGTATCCACTTCATCGGCTACTCTAGGTAAGCGAAAGGTTCGCACGTCGAAGATTGCCAAACCACTTTTTGGAGCACTCGCATAGAGCTCGCTCAAACGTTACCCCCATATAAGTATTAATTTACCGTTGTTCCTGCAACCGTTTTTTGATTTTGATCAGTTTTTGAGATCCGCATTTTGACCAGTTCAAGAGATTTTCGGTTAATTTAGTCTGCTCAAGCGATTTATGAAGTTGTGCCATTCAAATATGATTGCTGTCGCAGCAGATGCGACTATCGTAATCTAGCACAGCCCTATACTGCCTTCTTCATTCATATAAAGGATGACATCCACCAACCGGTATAGAGGATTGCGAGCAGAAAATGAAAACGCAAAGACTTCATTCAGAGTGCAACATTGCTAAAAAACGGTGAGAATGTTGCAATTTACAACGGTAGATTTAATTGATAACATAGTAATTTGGTAAAAGCCAGTATATCCATAACAGCTCAGCAAAGTTCACAAAGCTATATGGGGCATTCTTAGGCTACCTAGGGATGTTCCACCACAGTTTCGTCTTATTGCCGAAATGAGTTACTTCTGAAATATTTACCTTGTAAAACGAGGATGCTGTAATCTTACCCAAGGTCAATTTATAAGTGTTGTTGATGAAAACGATGAGGGTTTGGCCATGAATGTACGAAAAAGATGACACTGTGTGGAGCACGGCGGCTGACACGGATGACTACAGAATGGAAGACTACTCTTGTAGGAATAAGATCTTTGAAACTTGTTAAATGTGTTACCTTTTGATCAATTCTGCGTACTGCACTTTCGTTTACACCAGTGCGTCACGTCTGCTTCGCAGAGGCTCGCACTGGCCCTACTATCTATGTACCTTACTCATTCTCGTAGAATTGTGGCACTGGAACTCACCGCGCTATGCCGACTACCACGAATAAAATTTAAACAACTACTCATTTGTTTCGCGTGGATGAAACTTTCACAGGAAGACAAGCGCAAATTTGAATAGGTTTTTGAATTTATCATGGCTTGGTAGTTGCCAGAAAGATAATAGCAATCGTGAGCTACATCTCTGTGAGAAAATCTTCTGAAATGCTTGGCTAAAACCTTGGCAAACTGACCATTTACGCAACCATTTCTTTTTGACGCCGTTTTCGTTATGTAGTAAACTTTTGACCACTTTTTGGCCTAAAGTCCATCGTTTGCACATTTGGTAGCCAAACACACCCACGACTTTGCAAAAAGTGGTGATACGGACCCATTTTTGCGGGACAGAAGCCAGGTGGATCCGTTTGGCGCACAGTTTCTGAGGGATCCACTCAACGAATCTATTCGTGCTTTTGCATGCCAGGTGGATCCGTTTGGCGCACAATTTCTGAGGGATCCACTCAACGAATCTACTCGTGCTTTTGCATGCCAGGTGGATCCGTTTGGCGCACAATTTCTGAGGGATCCACTCAACGAATCTACTCGTGCTTTTGCATGCCAGGTGGATCCGTTTGGCGCACAATTTCTGAGGGATCCACTCAACGAATCTACTCGTGCTTTTGCATGCCAGGTGGATCCGTTTGGCGCACAGCTTCTGAGGGATCCACTCAACGAATCTACTCGTGCTTTTGCATGCCAGGTGGATCCGTTTGACGCACAGTTTCTGAGGGATCCACTCAACGAATCTACTCGTGCTTTTGCATGTTAGACTTTCGTGAAGGGAGCATGCGCTATGCAAAATTTGGGCAGTGGCTGGAACACGCTCTACGAATTTCGTAACAGACGGACACACACACAGACACACACACAAAAACACGTTAACAACCCTTAGCCCGTTATTATAAGGTCTTGATACTAATTTGTGACAAAATTGGGTGAGAAAACTTACCTCACTTAGCCTAACGAGAAAATCGCCATGTTTTCGTAATAATGCGGCCGTGTCCTCGCGTGGCAGGTAACCATGATAGAAACCACAACGGAACAGCCACTTATCGACAATTTTTTGCGGCTACAGCTATTTATCATTGTAAGCACAGCATTTAGCCAGAAACTGACCGAAGAGTCACCGGGTTCCTTCCTACTACTGCTTGGTGAGTCTTGCTTGATCTCCGGACTTCCCATAACGCGGCGGGTATATGTGCAGTTGTGTGAGAAATGAACTTCACTCCGAAATCAAGGCCTTATAATCTTTATCAGCGTCGTTTATGCGAGTAAATAGCTCAGCCTGCCTATTATCAGAGCAGATATGTCAAGCAATACCGTTAGAGTGTGAGGCGTTCGCCTTGAGCCGGATACTTCGAAGGCATCTGCACTGATAGAGGAATAAGAGTGCTTCAAAAGAATGCATGCGGTGTTTAATTGTCAACATTCTTACTTGAATGTACTTTGCCGACCTCCATGTACTATGCCAAGGTGACTTCAATTTAGCTCTGAAGGGTCGAGTTAACCCCCTTTACGGTAGCTTTACGGAAGACTTTGAGAAGAGCTTTGCACATTAAGAAAAAATCTTTTTCAAGGAGAAATTCCGAAAAAAAATTTGAAATCTGCTGTTAAGTAAATGCTGGTTACGGGTAGTTGTACTTCTTCAAATTATAAAACGGCTTTGTAAATCTGAACAAATTTATCAGCTGGGATCAGCCTCTCTGAAGCCTCTTCGAAACAGGTTTCAGGAAATGAAAGTTCCGCCGAATTGCAATCAAGTTGAGGCGCCATCATGCTGGAAATTCTCACCTTAGCTTCACAACGATAAAAAGTGATCAATGATTATTGTAAACTTGAGTTGAAGCTAACAAGAAGGATACATAAAGGCCAGCGGACGATAAGTAAGGAGCTATCAACAATTGGACCGTAGCGACTTTTTTTGGAATCTTAGATTGATTCTGCCATTCCATTTGCCACCAGATAGGCGACTTTCCAAACTCTCTAGGGATAGATTCGACCTTACGCATACCTTACAATTATTGTTGGTCGTAGAGCGACTTGAATACCTTGCAACCATGCAAGCTCTTTGGCATTTTTACACATCAATGTGTTAATTCCTCGCGTGCCATAACCCAACGTTGTAAAGGATTCAGTTGCTTTTTACGATAGGTATCAAAGCAGCTGTCAAAGATAAAAAATCAATCATCAGATTTTCGAGCGCTGACTTAATCAAATTTTGGTATCGTTCATTCTCCACAGTATAGCGGGTGGAGCTAGCCGATGCTCACCTATGCGGTGGCAGTTTTTGACTGGGCCATGCCCTTTATACGCATGGAAATCGCCTACACCTAAAGGTTACAGGAGCTTGCATGTATTCGAATACTGCTGAAGGACCTACCTTCAAAAAACGGCGAGGGCAAGTGTGGGCTTGACTGTTCGTTTACAATGATTTATTATGTGCTACATTTCCCATTTCCCATTTTTATTTTCAAAATAACCTGAAAACTTTTACACTGGGCTAATTAGGGTCTCTCATTATGTGTGGTTCGCAACTTATCATAATGTTTCATAGAAAAGAGTTATGCGAGTTAGGCTGTAGCGGCCATTTTCGTTCCTGGAAATGAGGTTACGCCGTTTAGAGCTTCGCAATATTGTACACTAGTTGGCTTTCCCGGTCCAGCCCGGGCCATGGTTCACCGCACTGCGAGCCCCCCCCCCCCCGCCCTATATGGTATGGATGACTTACCCTGGGACCCGCTTCGAAACCGCATCCTCGTGATCCTGAGATGAAAATGAGCTTCACCGCCCTCCTTTACATGAGTATGGAAAATGCTTGATTGAACATGATAACCCTTCAATTCCTTAGGGAAATGTAAACAAATCAATAAATCGATAGAAGGACCCAACGAATCGCCGCAAAAAGTAGCCTATCATCTGCGCAAGGGTCGAAAACATATGTGTGCAAAGTTTCAGCTGAATCGGTTGAGTGGCGCGCGTTTCTATAACGCACATACCCTCCAAACTGACAATTTTTGAGTTTTATATATATATATATATATATATATATATATATATATATAACTGAGTATCGAACTCAGCATTCATGAAATCCTATTACCCAAAACTTCTCAAAAGAGTTTATTCCAGAAAAGTTATTAACAATCAAACAGTAGCCACATCTTTCTGGGACACCTTTTTAGAAGTTGTTTTGTTTTGCTAGGTTGTATGTAGTCCTTACCTTTGTGCCATTCTACCTCAAAAAGTTACGCCTTGCCTCCGCTTTTGCAGCATAACTTATCCGCGTGCATCGACTGACAAAAGACATAAAACCCTTCTTCCTGAATGTGATCCACAAGGGTTTGCAGAAGGAAATGCCTGCGATGGACATGGTACGTCACTCTACCATTCTCTGACGTCAGCTCTGCCTTTTTCAGCGCATCGACATATGCGCATAGATGGAATATGCAGAAAATTTTTAAATCAGAAATCTAGAAAGTCGGGCATAAGGCAGTCTTACCGTCATGAAAGCATCATGTAAAGCATGCTATTGGCGCAGATCATTGGGCAAAATGATCGTCAGTGCATTAATTCTACTCAAGAAATTAGCCATTATGTATTTTTCTGGGTGACCTATTGGTAAATTTCGTGTAATTTTTCTTGAGCTGGTCCCTAAAAGAGTACCATGCGTTTTCTTTTTTCCGCCCGCCGCCAACGCTTCGTAGAAGGATTCTTGTGTGAGCCGGTCATGTTAGCCTGATACGTCTTTTGGAAGGTGCTTGGAGGTTTTGCAGTGTTACCATATCCCTAACAAGGGAAGGACTTGGTCAAAGTGGCGTTTCCATATAAAGTATATACTGCCTTGCCGAGAATGGAGCGCTGTTTTCGTATTTGCCTTCGTTATCTGCAAAGCACTTCTAGGAGGGGAGTTACAAGAATTCTCTGATACAAACCTTGGAATGCGCTCCGTGTGCTGAAGTGGGGCCATAACTACTTCCAGGACGCTTCATGCAATAATTACCTTCAATCTAATAAACTCTGTCAGCTATCACCTCCTGCGCCGGTAAGACTTCAACAAATACTTTTACCTTAGCCAAACTCCTAAATTTTTATCTCAAAAAATTCTCGCAACTACCCTTTCAGAAGCGCTTTGCAGATAGTGAAAGCAGATTTGGAACTAGGGTTTCATGCTTCATGAGGCAGTATACTTTTTTATGGGAACGCCACTTCGACCAAGTATCCTTCCCTTGTTAGAATCCGGCCATCCTGGACCCGGCCTGGCTTTCGCTATCTCAGCAGCGTATGCAAAGATATGGGTGTACGCGATGTACGCAGGCTCAACTCTAACCTTGCCTTCAAACCATGTGTGTATGCAACAATTGTACAAGCGCTTTGCATAGCCGCCACAATGGCTAGAGCATCTTGTTCAATTGCAATATATAAGTTTGGTTTTCGGTGTTTAATTTTAAGTTTTTTTTACGAATTTGATTTTTCGCTTTACTGCAGATAAATTCTGACTGCTGACTGCGCATGATTTTGAGATATCGTTCATGTGCTATAGATACAATTTCCATTTGCTTTCGCCAAGCTTCGCACTGAACCTCATTTTCGAACACTGGGCTGCGGTCGCTTATCACAGTCGGAAAACAGAATTTGCTCTTCATTGCTTGCTTGCGGCTTGCTTACCCTCCTCCTTCTTCTACTCTTGATGTATGATCTTACCACCATTTAGCTTTCAATGACATAGTCCTCACCGCCAAGATAAAAGAGTTCTACTTCTGTTGTTTACATGGAAGTGGCGAGTGAGGATTGAAGATTCATTCTTCATAAAAAGTGGCGAAAATTGGTAAATCAATGAAGCGAGCGGGAATTTGCCGCGAAAAGTAGCCCCTATGACGAGGAGTGTTGAAAAACCGGTGTTAGTCATACATGTCTGCAAAAGTTTGGCGCTGATCGGTCCGCGCACAAAAAATTCCTAAACTCACATACTATTAGGTTGTAAAGAAAGTTCGCGGGCACTTGCGAAAAATATCTTCAAATCGCTCTAACTTCAAGCAGGTCGCTTCTTTTTTGAAGCTGCAAACTTCACTGCAAAGACAATTTTGTCCACAACATATATTTGTCTTTCTGGCTTGTCAGCACCTCACTGCGGTCCACCAGCATGCGCAGAAGGGAAAAAGGTCGTCGCGAAAAGTGGCCTGTTTGTGCAGGATTATCTCAGGCAGGATAACAGCTGGAGAGTCCAAATGCTGCTGTAATCATATAGAATTCTGCTGGGGCTGTTATGGGAACCATTCATGTTTTTGAAGGACCACCTGCACAAAAATTTTTCCCAGAAAGTTTGAAAAATCGACCATTTTTTGCCCCTAAAAATGCACCATTTTCGAGTAAATAGCCTCGGAGTCTTCTAGTTCTGCACAGAAAAGATCAAATCTTTGATTACTGGCAACATTGGTGGGGTAATGCCTCGCACATCTTTTGGACCCATCATCCAGGCGTGGCGATTACCGCAGAAGCGACGCCAGCTGCGAAAAGAGTTGCAGTCAGAGGCAAGTTCGACAGCTTGTAATTTCTGAGCACAAATCGCAAAACTCGAGTGCAGCTGCGGGTCAGAAGTGGACAGGTTCCTCAATCAGATCACTCATGATTTGGACGAAATTCTTTGAACTGCACAAAAAATGGGCGCAGGAAGAAAAACTGCGAAATTTTTATAATCGGAAAGATTTCCTTTTTTGATGTGCAGGTCAAACATGTCTTGCCCTCGATAGAAATCAGAAGCGCTATTGAAAACTTCAGGCTTCCGTCTACTGAACAGTATTAAAAACTTGGTGTCAAAGTCCGACCGAGCGCCAAAAAAGGCGTTTGAAAATGAAATTCAAAAATTGCCCGGGAACTCTCTTTACATAATAATTAACATGTTATTGGCACTGAGGTTCATATATGTGCATATTGAAATTTGCACAACAACCCCTCTAGATTATGACAGATGGCGTGCTTTAGTCAGTATTCGCATGACATTTTTTCATTTCGTTTTATTTTCACAGAACCTCGTTTTTGGTTATGGAAATCTAAGATTTTGAATTTCGATGCAGGAGTACTGTAGAATCCAGCAATATCCACGAAGAGAAATTGCAGAAGTTTGTGCCACGTGCCGAGGCCCCCACAACCTCCTCCTTGGCAGTCAGCAGGTCTTCATCTAGAATGCTACTATGCCTAGAGCATAGCTTTAGTTTAAAATTTGTAAAAACTTGCCATTTCTACACAGCTCACTTGAATTAGTATATTTATCACATTATACATTAATGCAAAAACAGCAAATGCCTACAAGAGCAAAGATATTTGAATGCCAATATGAGATTCGTTGGAAGTGATACAAAGAAGGCAGTGGCTAATGTCTGAAGATTTAGCAACTTCTACTTCTTTTTGGTGAAACGAGTGAGATCATGCCAGAAGCAAGCTTTCATATTTTCGAAACGATCGAAGCATGGCACGTAGGTCATATCCAATTGAGTCGTTCTTCCTGAAATGGCAATTTTTAAAAAGTGAATATACTGGTTAATTTCAAGAATACGTCAATTTCCTGTTCTTGTGACTTGCTTATGCTAACCGTGGCTATACAAAATGAGATATAAAGTGCAGTTCATAATTATTCGAACACCCCATATTTTGAGAGTTTCGGAATTTTTTTCAAAAGCACAAAAACAGCAGGTACCATGTGAAAGAGCAAAGCCGGAATTGTTGTACATGGCACAAGAATGAAAATTGGCAGTCCTGGAATGTTTCTGCGCCAAATGCGAATTTTTAGTGGTTCATAAATTATGCGAACACCTCAAACGATCCTCCTTCTTTCACTCAAAACTGTAATCTGAATCGAAATTTTACTAAAGATATAGTAACAAAGCCTGAGATAGCTGCTATACATGACATCGCAGTTCATAAAGAGGAGCGTTTCCTTTTTACAATCTGGTGGCTTATTTAAGGCTCAATATGCTTTTGGAGTCAGTGCGCCTCAGAAACGTCTATTATTCTCTAGTTCGAGCACTATCATTATCTTCTGCCAAAGCTACGAGATAAATTGAGCTTTTTGATGGATATTTTGTTTAGCGCTTGGAAAGTGTACTCGTCGCGTTTCCTAACCAAGTCTCAACCTTAACCTAGAGTGAGCGCAATTTGGAGCCTTAAAGCTCAGTTTCTATCTTGCGCAAAGAGTTACGATGAAACAAGTGCATTGATGCATATTGATGTATTCGTGCCGAGGTCGGATTCTTTGCAGGATTAATCTCAGGGCCTTGAAGCTAAAAGACTAAGAAAAGTGTGAGTGCAGTAGTAAACTTAAGCATTTTGGAAGATAATGTCTGCGTGGCCAGAGGAAACGCTCAGCGTCGCAGAACCTTTTTAACCAAACACCAAAGCACATTCTAGCGAATTCGTATCTACTTTGTGCCTTAGCTTATTATAGGCTGCAAAAAGTGTGTTTTGAAGCTGAAATCGTGCTCACCCTAAAGTAAGGCTGAAACTTGGTTGAAAGACGCGACGAGTACACTGGTTTTTCCAAACATCAGATAAAATATATGTATCGAAAAAGCTCAACTTATTTCAAGGACTTAGTGAAAGCTGATCACGAACCATAGAAAAACAGAAATTTTTGGTGTGCACTGATTCCGAGAGTAATTTGAGCCATCTGAAAAGAGTAAGTCTCCTCCTCCTAAACTGCAGTGGATTCAAGTGCAGCATATATCTCAGACTTTGTTACTGTAACTCTATAAAAAATTTTGACATAAAAGAACGCAGTGTTCAGTGAAAAAAGGGGACCAGTTTGAGGTGTTTGTATAATTACAAACCGCTAGAAATTCACATTCGAAGCAAAAGCACTCCTAAGATTCACAACGATTTTCATTCTTGAGACGCGCAAACCATTTTTGGCTATTCTCTTTCACGTATTACCAACGTTTACGAGTTTTCCAGAATGTCCCGAAACTTTCAAAATGTGGAGTGTTCACATAGATATGAAACGCACGTTATGTGGCGATTTTTTTTGCAAAGTGCTCAGTTGTAATTCTTAACTTTCCAAGATTTATGAGCGTCTTGCTTTGGCTGAATACGGACGAACATCTAGATAAATCATTCAGTTGAAATGTCCAGGAAGTGGTCAGCAGCATGTATTTGCCGCATATTATTGCTACTATATTAGGTTGATGCGTAATTTTTGCAGAAAATTATTGAAGATACATAACTTCCTCCAGCTTCAAAAGAATCGACTTTGTAGATATATCGTATGTATGAATATCTTACGCTTTCTGGGAGTAGTTCGACCAAAGATCCTTGCTGTCATATCACAACGACATAAGCCGATTAAAACAAAGATCCACTGAATCAAAAACATTTACTTCACTTTAATTTCGGTAATTTTCATTTATGATCTGCTTTCTAACAGAAAATTTAGGTTATCTTCTTTACAAACAGTTCTGATACTATAGTTATAGCAATAACGACATACTATTCTTGCTTTTACTAATAATTTACACCGAAAATTGTAAATTTTTAAGAAACTCTTGCTTTTATTTGAAAACATGGGAATTTTTGCTGCCGGAATACGCCGCAAATAGACAAAATTAATCTCTTCATTTTAGATTTACCTCCATCTTGCTGCCTATCGCGCGAATTACTAAGTTTTGCAACATTTCCAATTTAAATGCTTCTCTCTTTTAACATGACGCGCTCAAACTTTGCCATTATGAGACTTATGACGTAAGCCACGCGCAGCTGCTGCTCTGCCAAATTACTACGTCGCAGTGAGGGTTACGTTAAGTAGTATGAAAAATTACGCAGTATAACAGATTTGGTCGAAACTTGGCATAGGGGGTTATCCGACATGCTGATCACGAAGAAGATACTGAATTGGCATGGTAGAGGCATTTTTAAAAGACTGTTGTAGCTTTATTGTATGGGGGTCTTACCCTTAACAAGGAAAGAGCATTAACTCAATAAATGAATGTAATCTTTGTTTTGAGCGGGACAAATAACCTCAGCATGCAAAGTCTCGCCAGATTAAGAAATTCCGACTCCTTAGTCGCTGACAGTTGCCCCGAGCAGCCTTGCGTACAGGGTGTACTCGTTCGATTGTGAAAAACCTTCGAATCTCGACAAATCTTTGAATTTATTTCTTTCCCACTGAGCTGAATGAGAGCAACCTGCTAGCATATGCACAAATAACGGCTTCTTTTTTGCTAACAACTCCAAAAATCTTCGAAGTCCACTGGTATTCAAAAAATGCCTCGAGTTTTTTCTAATTCGTATTCAAAATCTGAACAGTCTGTGCGTAAAAGTTGCCTTGCACACATTACGTTCTACGTCCTGCCAAAGTTTGGGTGCGCCACATCCAAAGAGAGTAAAGTTATGAAAGTAGTTGTAAAACTTAATTTCCAACCTAGTACATCAATGGGAATCTCTATAAAAATACTGAAAATGAAGTACGTATTACTCACTATTCGTCTATTTTTCCCCTCACCAGTCGCTTGTAAGACTATGCTTTTTTTAAGATTTTAACACAGTTCCGCAATTTTAACGTACTATTAGAAGTTAAAACAGCTTTTTATGACCTGCCCCCTGCTCGTGAATTTCAGGGTTGTCTTTGAAATGCTTTTGCCAACTCGTTTTACCTACCTAATCGCTGGTCACAGAATGTAAGGCATTTCATGCCTGCAAGTGTGGTAGTAACTCCGTTACGAGCGCAACATTCCGTGTGGTCCCTGAAAGTGTATGAGATTATTTGCATCTCTTTCTCACTTCTCTAATTGTACTCTGAAGGAGAGAAATTTGCAAGTTTTCACTGCAAAATCTGAACATTCCAACAATAGCACCAAAATGCCCAGAATACGTGTTTTCACACATAAAGGACATCTTACCGTCCTTGAGCGGCACAAAACTGCATCTCCTTCATTGCAGCAAGAGGACAAGGATCTTGCTTGAAGTACATTGCGCTTAGCTGTAAAGTAGTAATTCTCGGAAATTTGGGGGACGTATAAAGCTAGGCATGACACTTGCCGCATCTTTGGTGTAAGTCCTGAAATTGCACTTGTTGAGGCACGCGTCCGGTAGTTGCCTGTCCATGCAGCAGTCCAAGAAGGCCTTGTTAGGATCCTAAAAGGAATGTAGAATTGCCGAGCAAAGTCCAGATCATAAGAAAAGCAACAAGACGGAAGTGCACACTTACAATGGGACTGCTGCTTCGTCGATTCTCAGCTACAGACGATGACACAAGTTCAAGCTCTTCACTCTCTGTGAGCGGTTCGTTATGAAGGCGCTTGAAGCTGAGAAGTCTAAAGAACTTAGTCTGAGAAAATGTTCGCGATTTTTTCAAAATCAAGATCACACGGACAAAATCTTTCAATTCAAATTTGAACTAGTTTTCTAACTTATTTCACAGCTTTTGCACAGTGAAGTAAACTTTTGACTTTGAACAAAAATAGAACAAAACATAAAACATAACACAACATAAAACACAACATAAAACAAGTTGCTCTTTCAAAGCTCTTAATCTGCTTGAAAACAGAACTTTTAGTCGAATGACGTTTGAGCATTTCACAAAGGAAGTATTTAACGTAGCTCGACTTTGGAAACTTATATTATCTGAATCAGCATCAATCGCTGATTCCAAATATGCTTATTATCTAGTGCTAGATAGACTTGCGTTAAGCTTCTTTTTTAGTGAGGAAAGATTGGATTTGTGTTTGAAGAATTTACCTACAGACAATCTTCCCATGTTCAGTAGTGCCATTTGTGCACGGGAAAAAGCCCGTTACTCACTTCGGAATGGTTAGAAAATATTTGAAATCAGGGTTCGAAGCTGATTCAGAACAGGCAGAGTGTCCCAAAAAAGTGTGCAAACTGTTTGATTCTGAATACGTAATAATAATAAAAACGTAATAATAAAAAAAAACGTAGAAAATCGTGGGTGGAAGTTTTCAGATTGATTCTGAAAAACTCGCTTGCTTCGATGTCTCTTGTACCTAAGTACCGCTCTGTAGAGCTGGCTTCAACTTACAGCTACAACTTACAGTTACTCCAACTGTTTAGAGTTACCCTATGGATCGGATCTCCGGCCGTTCTTCGTTACTGTAGAATTACGGTAGGAACTTTCAGCATACTGCTCCATGATAAATCAGACCATTTGATAAGAAAATTCCCCAAAAAAACGTAGGAAATCGTGGGTGGAAGTTTTCAGACATGCTGATTTCACTAGGTAGATTTTACAAGATTTTCGCGCTTTTTCAAAGGTGTAATCACATTTTTGAAAAACATTGGATGAGCAGTTTTTACTGTCTCCTTGCTATAACTTACGAAAGAAGGATGAACCTGGTGTGCATATTTCATGTCTAAGATCAGCGACACTGAGCCTAGTATGAAAGTTTTTTGGCTTGATTGGCTTCCCTTGAGGCAAGATGCGACTCACAACGCTTAAAAACCCTGTTTAAATTTTATCGTGACCCTACAGTGACAAATAAAGATCGGAAACGCACTCCATAGTATAAATCAGAATTGAAGCCAGCTGTACGGAATGGTACCTAGGGGTCGACAAAAGACATTTATGCAGGCGAGTTATTGAAAATCAAACAGTGTGCACATTTAGAACACCCTGTTCATGTGTCTTGCCAAAAGGCAGAGCTAAGTTAGCTAGTTTCCCTTATCAGATCTTTGGGCCTCTGATAATGCAAAACGTGTCCGACATACGCCTTTTATACATCCATTTCACAAATCAAACAAATTATACCACTAGCCAGTTTCAACAGAAAAACGATTGTTGTTTTGCTGCACGCAAAAATCCCGTCAGAAAGTTGTTTATTTTGAGATATCTACTTTTCTCATCTTAGTTGCCGCGAAGAGAGGGACAAATAGCAGGAAGCCTCACAAATTGTAGATCCAAACAGTTAGGAATTTTCAGATTTTCATTAATCTAGACAATATATTTTTTATTTCGTCACCAAAATTACGCATGCAGGTTACTAAGATGGAGTTTTCAAAAATTTTATATTAGATGCTGCGACCAGTATGGTAGCCATAGAGTTGCAAACCCAAAACCGATTTATAATTCTCGGCATAACTTTCACCTATGTGAAATATGTACCACCACTTACCTTTCTTTCAAGATCTCTCTATCCATCTCGGCCTGCTCCTCCTCTTCGCGCTCTTTTGAAGCTCGAGAACGTGAATGTACTGGTTGGAAGCTCTTCGATCCGCGAACTCGAGCTCTATAACGAAATTAAGCTATCAAACAAACTTCTATAGGGCAATCCTGCTTTACCTATAGCAGCCATAAGCACCGCACTGATATCCACCTCGTGAAGGACACTGGCACTGTTGTTGGGGTTGGGGTGCGCAGCCGCCTCCATACCCGCATACACCGTTTGAGGCACACTAAAGAGAATTGTAACAGTCTTCCGCAAATTTCCAAACAAATTCAAAAATTCTGTGAAGACTATAGAATTTCGAAGTTAAACTCTTTTAATTCACAAACGTGGTGTATGCTGTAACCAGATGGCATTCTTGGCCGCTGCTAGTCATCACCAGGCCTTGCCGCTCTGCTTCCAAGAGAAGAGCACTGTAAGCAACACACGGCGCTGACACAACAACGGGTAATACCTGCTTAACCATAATTTTTAGAGTATTATTTTTCTTAACACTCAAAGCGATATGACTAGCAAAAACGCTGAATGAAAGCAATTGTCTTGCAGAATCACCAGTTGCATGAGATTGAACTAATATTATACCTGTTTGATCATATATAGCTCTGTTCGCCTTGCCCTGAAGTACTGCACAGACTTTTGGTACATTTTATAGAAATCGCAAAGCCGCATTGATGCAAATCACCTGACAGCTCTTCTTAAGTATGGAGATACGAGAAATTCTTGAACAACTGTTGCGCAAGTTAGAACTTACAAGGGAAGCATGTTTGGTCGAAGTGGCCCTTTGATGGATGTACTCATATTGTAGGGCATAAAATGCTGATTCCAAATCTGCCCTCCTAATCTGCGGAACGTTTGCGGGCGAAGAGTTATGAACGTTGATTTGAGCAAAAAATTGGACGTGCGAGTAGAAAAATAGTATTTTATATTATATTATATTTTATTTTAAATTATATTATTTTATTTTATATTTTTTCTAGAGCTTTGATGGAGCAATGATGATAATCTAACCACTTTATATAATAATTAGTCTAATAAGAGAAGGTTTGGAATACATTATCAGCGATTCAAGTCAAGCATATCAGATCAGCGATTCAAGTCAAGCATCAGAATGCTTGACTTGAATCGCTGATCTCGAAACTATCTTCATTAGCTGCAGAACCCTTTTCCGAGAAGATTTAGCGCTCATAAAAGCGCTAACAAAGTATTTGCACCGATCGAGATCAAACGGACATATTGTGCGATAATCGACAGCGCTAACCACTTGACCATTCGACACCTTTGACACGCATCTAAATTACTACATCTATGCAAACACGTCAGATGAGGGAAAATACGGTTTTTCCAAGATATAGTTCTATGCAGATAACGAACGCGATCTTGAGAACAGCGTTTCAAGACGAACGTCAAGACATATGTCACATATCGAAAGGCCACGTCCACCAAGTATCATCCCCGTAAGGCTTCGGGCGAACTTCACGCGATTTCATCGTCGCGATTCATCGCGACAAGATAATTGTAACAATATCATTGCATGCATTTCGGTTGTGAGAGTTTTCTAACACGACTTATCATGAGTAACTAAAGTGCGGTTCATAATTATACGAACACTCCAAATTTTGGAAGTGTTTGGACTTTTTGGAAGAAAGTTAAAAAGCCGTTGGTACCACGCGATAGAACACAACTGAAAACGGTATATAATCCATAAGAACGGAAATGGATGTCACTCTTGGGAGCGTTTTTGCGCCTAATGCGAATTTTTAGCGGTTCATAATTATACGAACACCTCAAACAATGGTCCAATTTTCACTCAAGATTGCAATCATTTGAGTCCAAATTTTTTGTAGAGTTACAGTAACAAAGTCTGACATATCTGCTACACACTGAACCCAGTGCAGCTCAAAAAGAGGATCGCTACTTTTTTCAGATGGTTCTAAATGATTTTGGAGTGATTGCGCTCCAAAAGCATATGTTCTTCTGTGGTTTACGCACTCTAATTAGCTTGTACCAAGGCTATGAGATAAAATAAGCTCTTCCGATAGGTGTTTTGTTTGACGCTTGGAAAATCTATGCATTTTCATGCCGTTTTTCAACCAAGTTCCAACCTTACCTTAGAGTTAGCGCGATTTCGAGCCTCAAAACTCAGCTTTTCTCTCGCGCAAACATTTGATATGAAGCAGCTGCATTCCTTGCATGATGATATATCCGTGCCAACGTTTTTGCGTTTTTTGTAGAACTGATCTTGAGGCTATAGAGCAACAAACCAAATAAAGTTGTGGTTCCAATAGTAAAACAGTGGTTTTGGTGAGATGACGTTTACGTGGCCAAAACAAACGCTCAACGTTGCTGATTTTTTCTAGCCAAATACATAATCTTGTGAAATTCTACATACTATTTGCTCACTTCATTGTAGGGCTTCCGAAGCTGTGTTTTGAGGCTCGAAAACATGCTAACTCTAGGGTAAGGTTGGAACTTGGTTGAAAAGCGACACGAAAACGCATGGATTTTCCAAGCGTCAAACAAAATATCTATCGAAGAGCTTATTTTATCTCGTAGCCTTGGTACAAGCTAATTAGAATGCGCAAACCACAGAAGAACGTATGTTTTTGGAGCGCAATCACTCCAAAATCATTTAGAACCATCTGAAAAAAGTAGCGATCCTCTTTTTGAGCTGCACTGGGTTCAGTGTGTAGCAGATATGTCAGACTTTGTTACTGCAACTCTACAAAAAATTTGGACTCAAATGATTGCAATCTTGAATGAAAAATGAACTTTTGTTTGAGGTGTTCGTATAATTATGAACCGCTAAAAATTCGCATTAGGCGCAAAAACGCTTCTAAGATTGACATCTATATCCATTCTTATGGATCATATACCGTTTTCGGTTGTGTTCTATCGCGTGGTACCAACGGCTTTATGAGTTTCTTCCAAAAAGTCCAAAAACTTTCAAAATTTTAGGTGTTCGTATAACTGTGAACCGCACTTTATCACAACCGAAATACAAGAAGGTCGTCATGCAATGAACCAACACTTGTCTTGTCGCGCTGAATCACGACAATGAAATCGTGTGAATTTTGCCCGAGACCTAAGATGAAAACATGTTACACTTGCTTGCTTTATTTTGGGGCTTGTAAGATTTTAGCAACTCATTTTATCCTAAATGCACATTTGATTTTTTGCTCAAATAACCGCTCATAAATCCTCGTCTACAAAAGTTCCGCAAATAAATAATGCAGATTTGGAATCAGCATTCTATGCCCTTCAATATCGTATACACTTCATACAAAAGGCCACTGCGATCAAACATGTTTTCCCTTGTTAGAAAAGGTTTTTCGAAGTCTAGAAATTCGTTCACTTGCTCAGTCGGACTTTCGCAAATTTTCTATGAGTTTTCAGAACTATGAGGTTTTTCAATGGCAGCTTACATTACGGCGTCTACAATTACATTAATGTCAATGTATTAGAGTTTTCTACCGTAAACTCACAGTAATTAAGGGCAGCCAGCTGTTTTCTTCTAATGTACGCAGTCAAAGGTAGCCTCGAGTATACCCAGAGTCCCAAGGGACGTTAAGATTGACGATCAAATAAAGCATGCATACTCTTCAGACACTCTGTATTTGAGCTATGTTTCTGGACATGAGAAGCAACAAATTAGATTACGTGTGAGGATCATTTGAAGGACCCAAAAAATACTTTTCTTACTTTTATGTCAGCAGCTTCATCTTAGGAGTATGTGGCAACTTGTTAGCCATAACGCAGTTTCGCTTTTTCGATAGTAAGCCATCACTCTCCACTATGGCACAACACTAGAGAACAAAGGGAGCTCAAAAACACATGGCACATGTCTGTGAGTTGACTATTAGCATCGCCTACCCTTCAATTCTTACCACTTAAGAACTAGTTCCTCATTCTTTTGTCAGCTTTTTGAAGAAGTTTTATTGCTTTTACCTGTCATTATTATGACGCACTGATAGAACCGTCTAACTTACTGCAGAAATTACAGAGTCTTCAAACTTTTTAATAAGCCGGAAAAACTTTTAAATGGCTCGGAAGCGAATTGTTGGTTAGGAAAAGTGAGTGTGCACTTATTTCCTTCGTTTCTCTTCCCATTAGGTTCGCCATCGCAAGCATGGCCATGAAAGGGCAGCGGAGGGATTATCGCTTCGTTCAACAGTAGCAATACGGCTAAATGTTGCGCGAATCGAAAATAGACGAAACCAGTCTTTCAAGAAAGCCGTTCTGAATATTGAAACAGGTCTAAGACCAACTTCATCTTTGAGGTTTAGCCTGCTCGGTCAGAGTAGGAATTCATGGCTCTTTTCTGCATGTATCAAAGATTGAAGCGGTGACGGAGCAGACTACGGTAAGAAGGCCACATTATTCTATAGACAAGACTGATTGTAGAAAGGGACTTTTGAAGGCTCTCTTTCAGTCTCATTTCTAAACTATAGAAGTGAAAGTTTAATGTTGGTTACTTTACAACACCCTCATTCGTTTTCATCCAGTGAGGTACGTCCTCTGGAGGGCGAGACGGTATCCAAATAAATTAGCTTCGATAAAAGCTGCTGTTTGGGATTTGTATCACTGTTCTAATGACTAGAATACCCATTACAAACCCAAGTGGAATCCACCTCCAGAGTTCGGCATCCTACACACACTTTGCAATTGCAAAACAATTTTGAAAAATTCTCAAACTTCACCTTGGGTGAAATGCTCAAATGCAGAAAGGCCTGACCTTTTCGGGCTAATCGGGACACGTCAAAAAGTTACGAGGAAACAGCTAATAAACTCAAATTGGTGCTCTTTGATTCCTTTATAAGAAGTTGTTAACTGATGATCAGAGAAAACTTTTTGCAGTGGACAAGATCTGTCTAGTATGTACTTATGCTGCACGAAAAATTGTAAGAAAAGTTTTAAAAATGTTCACAATTTTATTTTGATTCCTATTACTTATTTTTCGCAGAATATAACATAATTCTATTATGTCATGCATAATAGAGATTCTATAAGAAATGAAATCGAGATGTCGTCAAAAAACAGGAAATCATAACTCTTGTCAAGTTATCAGTATCGTCTCAGTTAAAAGGAATGAATTCTTGCGCCGAAACTTGGAAAAAAGAATTTGACTTTCTTGATTATCTGCTTGTATCTCCACGATATGCCAGTCATCGTGGCTGTAGCACCTTTAGAAAATGCATGATTTTCTTTTGAGTTGTGCTATTCAAACAAATTGAAATTTGGGTCCAAGACATGGATCAACCCAATTTCTGATCAAAGAAGCCGCTTACCTCATAAGTGACCGGAGGGAGAGCTGCATAGATACAGAGGAGCAGGACACTGACAGCGATCATTCTGAATAGTAATCTTACTGTAACAAGCAACTACAATGATTAACAGCGAAACATAAGATGTAGATCGATTAAGGAACAGCAAACTCTTCCAAGCAAACGTATGAGTAATAGGAAAGCAAGTGCAAGCACGGGGGTATGGAATATGAGGTTCATAACATAATGGGCGTGGTGTGGGAACCAGTCGTACAAACACCTTGGGTTTCGTTTTAATCTATGGAAACGAAGCAATGTGTAGTAACAGACAAGGTCATGCCGCGCGTGATGACGCTGTCATGGTTGCTTATGCAAGAGGAAAACAAGCACCAAAGGGAGTGCATGGGTACGGGGACAACAAAGTTCGGCGAGAGAAACACACAAGAAAACAAATAATGTTGCGCTGGTCCATCCCCTTTTATGAGATAGATATACGGTAGATCATACTCATATAAGTCATACGGTAAATTACAGGCTGGTGCAATTGAAGCGCGCATCTTTCGATCCAGAACATTACTCGCTATGCGAGGTCTGAGTGTGACAAACATAGCTACAAGTCAACACTTATCGAATCATTAAATCCACGGTGTAGGCAGAACGCATGCATTGGACTGCCAAGCAAACAACCTCTTCCTGCCCTCTATAATATAGCTAAGCAAAAGGAACTCGAGAAAAAAGAATTTTATCTTTCCTATTCTCACAACCGAGAAGGAAGAGTGAAGAGCGAAAGTAGGAGAACTTCGCTATCAGTGCGGATACTGACAGACCTGAAGGTGGCGTTTATAGACTTGCACTTAATACAGTAATCAAAAATAGCTCCTCAAAAACAACGTTGTGGAGGACGAAAAGGTTGAGAAATGTTTGCAGCCAGGTTTGAGACGCACAATCATGTGTAAAAGAGCAATAGTTCATGAGCTTTTGTTCACGGGATAAGTGCATAACTCACTAAACTCTAATTTTTCATTTTCTAGCCGAGTCTCTTGTAGGCATTTCATACCCTTTCATAGGGGTCACTACCATGTTTTTGAAGAAAATTCATTTTTCTTCACTTCGCCTTCTATGATTTGCACATCACACAAATTCTGTATTTAAGTAAATAAGTATTTTTAAGCTGTGTCCAGTCTATGATTTGAGCCGAGTACTCGTAACACTAAGAGGATGTTAAAAAAACGGGGCTGTGCTTGTGCCTAGTTCCTACACCGAGAAGAAAATCAAAATGGCTCAAGCTTACTGCAGCAATCTTGTGTCCAAAAAAACAACGGTAAATAAGCGAAAGCTTGTTTGAAAATTCCCTAAATTATCGAACAGCATTACTTCTGAGAAAATATTATATATAGTTATATAGTCACGTGCATGTGCGCTCAGAGAAGCTCATAGTTCGCACAAGTTGCCGTGAAGATAGCCATCGTATACAGAAAGTATCGGCATCCGCACTAAGAAATATCTGCGTTAATAAACGAGATTGGTTTTCCTTTATCCATGATTCATGGCTATTTTCATTCGATGCTGTCATGACCTCTCACTCTCTTTTCGCTCGCTGTAAATTGCGCTTTCGTTGCCATCAGAGAGATGCGATACACTTTCTTTTCAATTTCCGTATCATTTGAGTTCCTGACCATTAGTGGCGAAGCGATTATGGGTGGTTCACCTGTTTGAGTACTTTCTGTGAAAGCTGAATTGCTTACTTGCACACATTTTGATCTACCACAGGGTTTTCGGGTGAAGTTTTTGACAAGCTCTTCTGTAGTCCGGCGAACCTTGAAGGCGTAGTTCTTCGGTCTAGTTCACCAAAAAAAGGGAAAGTACATTTGTAGTTGCAACATATAACAATGGCGGGGAATCAGAGATCACTTCCGAGTGAGACCTGCTTGTAGAACCAGTGTCATTTCAGCAACAGAATTCAAAGGCAAAAGCAAGAATACTTAAAATACAATCATAGAAAATTTATAAAGCCAGAACATGCAGCGAATTTCTGGGAGCGTCCACAAATATTGGCACTGGCCAGCATTTGTAGCGTTTCAAAAGAGCAGCAGAACAGTATTTGCATATTCTCCGCATGTGCATATATGGACAAGAAACCTGAAACGATAGCGACTCAAAAGACTTGGCGTTGAAGGGAAAGCATAACTTTCTGTCGCTTTTCGTATTATCAGTAGGGGGAGAGTGTTCTACAGGGAATATCTGGGTTATCAAAAAATAGCGGAGGGGTTTTACTAGAGCCTTCCTTTTGACATTTCTGCCATGAATAATAGAAGGACCCGTACCTGTTCTTAGCATAGATATCGTCAACTGTGTAATGTATGAATTGCAACTCAATTAGGTAAACTTTTTTTACCAGAATTGCTGCAGGTATAACATTACCAGTATCATTGCATACAGGAGTAAGTTTATAAATTAGTACCTACTGGGGTGTGGAAAAATAGATACCTAGATTTTTTTACCAAAAGCCAAAAAATAATTGTGTCATATCTACATCCGAAAATTTTTGGACAAATGTGTGAAGTTTCATTGTGACGAAAGTTCAAAAACCACGAACCATAGTTTTTATAGAGTAATTTTGTATTCAAAGCTTGTATGTATTCAATCAATGCATCCACTACACCACCAACAAGAAAGTAAAGGCCGAAAGTGATTTCTTTAAGTGCCATACAGGAACATATGTTCTTCTTATAGATGGAATGAGCAATTGATAGGTTAAAGTGTTAGAGCCCTTCTCAAAGCAAATTTCAATAGTGCTTTTACTGATTTACGGAAAGATTAGCTGGAGGCTTAAATCTACAGCCCTTCTACAAGACAATCATGACTGTAGACAATTCATTCAGTCAGCAAAAAGTTTCAGAGGAAGATAAAGTCTTTTAGACTGAAGGCCTTGTGCGGTCATTTTTTATCCATCATAAACGCATAAAAAAATTAAAAACTCCTATTTTCTTGCAATTCTAGTACAATGGAGAATTGAGTGACGGTCAAAGTTTGAAGATAGAAATATTTTAGCTCTTTTTACATTTCGCTGTTCTTCCTGTGATCCTTTTAGCAGTGAAATCGACAGCCAAAGAATTTGAATTGCTGCATGACTCATGGGCAACAAAATGGGAAATCCAACATAAAGGTTTTCTGCGTTTTAGAATACGTGAAAATGCTTAGAAGCTATGTCAAAAGTCAAGAAAACTATCTAAACAAATTACGTATCGCTTAATTCAACAGTAAAGCACGTTTCAATGATACTATGGAAGAAGTAGAAGAGATCAACAGTCACCGAGGAGTGCGTTTCCTGATCTGACCATCAGGCGAATGATGTATGAATAATTGCACCTAAACTGTTGTACAAAACAACATAGCACTAAACTAGTCCACCACGCAAAAAGCAAGCGATCAACAGTCACTGAGAGGTTTTTCTGTCTTATAAGTCGTGATTATGTCGGATCAGCTTCCACTTTGCTACAAAATGCGGAAGCTTGGAAAATTTTGTGGTCAATAACTAGATTGTTTTCGAGGAGATTTCGCACAATGGATGATGCAAGAGAACCCTGATCAAACAAATTTAGTAAGTCTGTTGTTGCGAAAAAAACTTGATAATCTTACCTTATGAAACGGGCACTGCCACAGATTGCATTAAGAGCACTTTTTCAAACAGAGGATCTGGAAGCCTCTATTTCCCAAAAATTCCCAAAAAAATCTTTTTGACCCATTATGGCAAGCTTAGATCCATCTGCGCTTTCTCATACCACTAAATTTGCAATGTATACCTTTTGCAGAACATTCGACCAGGGGGTCAACTTTTTGTATTGGACCACGACAAGTGCACTTATAGTAGAGCAAAGATCAGTGTATGCAAATGCGCACCATAGAGCTAATGTGACACTACTGCAGCTCACTACGCGAAAATTTGGGAGTTTGGAGAAACGAAGTTTGTCCGACGATGAAAATTCCACATTTTTTTGCTGCCACTAAAACCATTCAAGGTCACTCTGAATATGGAGGCTGTATACCTTGAAACCGCAGCTGTGCTCGATTTTTACAATACGCGTACAAAAATTACAAGCTCTTAAACTTGCCTTTGACCATACTTGTTTTCGCAGTCGGCGTCAATTTTGTAAGAATGGTCACGTGTCGGGTAACGGACCCAGAAGATGTGCAAGACAATATCTCAAAAAAATTTGCAGCGATCACAGATTTGATTCATTCCGTGGAAAAAAGGAAGACTTCAAACTCATTTACTCAAAAACCGGGCGTTTTTGAGGTGCGAAAATGGCTGATTTTCTCACTTTTTCGAGAAAATTTTTTCCATAAGCTGTGCTCTAAAATCGTGGCACAATCTGTAAATAACCCCATCGAAATTTACATGACAGATATGAGCTCTCCAGCTCTCTTGCCGCCTGAAATTCCTGCACTAACAGGTAGGTTTTACAGTCAACCTTCTTCAATACTGCGCATGCTGGTGGCCCGAAATGAAGCGCTGAGGGCCCAAAAACTGAGAACTTGCAGACAATATTGCAGACAAAAAAGACATTCTAACCTTGGAGAAAGTCCAAATGGTTTTCACTCGTGTAATGTATTACAGATTTTTTCCAAGGGAGGATTACCCGTATACTCTTCCCTCCTATAGATGTAGGCTGGACCACTTGAAGTTGCATAGCTTGCTGTATCGAAGGGTTTTGGCTGACTTAGTGCTTGCCTTCCAAATAATTCGCCTTGAAACAAAAATTGTTCCTAGTGAATTCTGGGTTTGGAGACCGTGCAACGGCCGAACAGGTAGGTTTAGCTTCCACTGCATTGACTCTACTGTTCCAAATACACTCTTCTACAACTCATTTTTCGCACGCACTTCTCGATGGTTACAAAAGCTTCCTGACGCAGTTCTCTCTGCTCCTAATTCAACTACTTTCAGAAAAAAACTTCTTAATTGTGACTTTTTGAGATTGCTGGGAATAGATGAATCTGAGTACTTTTGAGATGAAGTTTCTCCTTATGTCCTTCACTTTTTTTCTTACATTTTAAATTCTACTCTTGGCTGGCTCCTTTTTTTTTTC